TTCTCCTATTCAGCATGTCTGCTTTTACCTCAAAGTCTTTAATCCATTTGGAGTTGATTCTGGAGCAGGGTGATATATAAGGATCTGCCTTTAGTTTTCTATATTTTTAAACCAATTTTGCCAGCATCATTTACTAAAGAGGCCCTCTTTTTCCATCCTAATTTTTTGGCTCCCTTATCGAAGATTAGGTGGCCATAGGTCTGCGGGTTTTTTTCTGGGTCTCAACTGACCATAACAAGGCCATACTAAAGCTACCAGCACAACTATGTTTATTGCAGAATTATTCACCATAGCTAAGATATGGAACCAAACCAGATGCCCCTCAGTAGATGAATGGATCAAGAAAATGTAATGTTTTGTGTTTTGTTTTGTTTGTTTGTTTCATATTTTGTTTTTTAATGTAGTACATGATTTCTTTTTTCTTTTGTGTTTTCCCTTCTATGGTTTATCCCCTGTTGCTACTGTATTTGATTTCGGTACCTTGGGTATTGTATATATGTTTTTCTGAATTAGGGAAGAGAAGGGGAACAACAAAATGGTGAGACAAATGACTAAGGGGGAACCAAGGCAACACAAGAAAATATTTTGGAAATGATCTGTACAATTTTGGGGGGATTGGGGTGAAGGAAATGGAGAAAACTGAAGGAGAGGGTAACAACTACTTATGTAACTATAACCCTTCTATACATCACCCTGAAAATAAAATTTAAATTAAAAAAAAATCAAAAATTATGCCCTGGTCCTGAATTCAACCAACTGGGCTGGCATACATAAAAAAAAATAATATTTTGAAAATAAATTCTTAAATCTCAGAACTATTTTTCTAATCTTTGGTAGTTTTCTTTTCTTTCTTTTATTTTTTTGCCATAAGCAATGTTACCAAAAATTACTGAATGGCATTGCCCCATTTGTTAGGAAATGGAAAGACTTGGAAAAGATTATATTAAGTGAAGTAAGCCAGGCCTAAAGAAACATAAGTCCCATGGTTTCCCTTATTTTCAATAACTAGTATATGTCTGAGTTAAGCAGAAAAGGTCAGATAAGTTGATGGTAGGGGAATAAACCTTAAGATAAGTATTCAATTTTTTTTTCTTTTTCATGCAATTGTTTCTAACATATTTTATAAGATGATTTCTATGTTGCTTTGTATGTCTTTCCCCCATGGTATAACCCCTGCTTTCACTGTATTTGATGTTGGTATAATTTGTGGAGGGGAAGGGAAAAAACAAATTGTTTAAATAGGGATACAGGTGGACCCATTGCATCAAGGAGATGTACAAGTCGTTATGTCGAAAAACTTTGGTGAGGGGGGAGGGAGGGGGGATTTGGGTGGGGGGAAGGAGTATGGGAAGGGATGGGAAGGGGAAACAAAGAGGAGGCAACAATGCTTAATAAGAAATGTACTCGTTATCTTGCCCATGTAGTTTTCACTCCTCTGTACATTATTCTCACAATAAAAAAATAAAAAAAATTACTAATTTAAGATTTAATAAGATTTATAAATTGTGTAATTTCATTTTTCTAAAAATTATTTTAGGTTATTTACAAAATGTCATAAAGGTTAATTCATAACAAAAGAACAGAAAGTAATTACAATGAGGACTCAAGGCTAGATTATTGTGTAAAAAGATAGAGGAAATAAAAGAGAACATGTTGATTTAGACATCATGATATATAATAGATTAAGTATAATTGAGCTGGAAATTCAATTTTGACCTTGGGGGTCATCAAGGAAGAAAAAGAGAGTGACCTGATGTAAAATTATTTTGTTTTTTTTTCATAAGACCATTATATCCATATATATAAAAACATATATATGTATATATATATATATGCATATATACATATATTTCCTGGCCCTTCTCCCTCCCTCTTTCCTCTCTGCTATAAAATGAATACCTCTGCCCAGAAATATGCTCCTGCCATTATGATGTTTTCCTCAAGTACATAGTGGGACTATGGAATAATAAACCTGAAATAATTCTCTTCGTATTCTCCCCTTAGGTTACTTCTGTTAGGTACTTGACACAATAAGGTATTGTTACCTACTTATAAAGAAACTAACACCACTGTATATTTGATTTATTTATATATTGTTATTACATGCATATATAATTTAAATTAAAACAAAGGGAACAATGCAATAACATAGAAAAATGTCAATATTGTATACCTTTTAAATTGCTCAGTAATAATACATTCCAATATAATACTGATGGCTCCCTGCTTTTAGAATTACTCCAATACTGTTTCCATCAGCAACAGATACAAAGATACCTGTTTATAGTATCTTTCTTGGTTTTTTTTTGGGGGGGGGGAGCTGTTGCTGTTGTTTAGTTGATTTTGGAGAAAGAACATATTTTTGCCTTCTTTTTGGTAAAACTAGTGAAGACAGGTCTCAATACTAGTTATATATGGCTCTACCAATCGAGTTACATTTGCAATTATTTTAATTTGGAGTTTTGAGACTCAGATTTGAAATGTTTTTCATAGATTTGTAGGCCATTTTAGTGTATTTACCTACTAATTTGCTACTTTAAAGCAAATTTAAATAACTGGGAATGTTGCTTAGTGGTAGAGTGCTGGCATAGAATGCATGAAGCCCTGGTTCAATTACTCAGTACTACATACACAGAAAAACCCAAAAGTGGCACAATTGACGAGAATACTAGCCTTCAGTAGAGTGGCTCAAGTGGGTAAAGTGGTAGAGCACTAGCTTTGACCAAAATAAGCTCAGAGACAGGGACCAGGCACTGAGCTTCTTTTGCCTTAGGACTGGCAAAAATAATAAAATCAAGACCATACATATGTCACATAGAGCTAACAGTTCAATAGGACCTCTTAACTTGAGGTCTTACTATATATTTATATGGATTTTATGAATTTATATAGATTTATATAGTTTTATGGCTATGAATGTATCCCAGGAGGCTCACTGGTTATATGTTGAAGGTTTACTCTTCAATGCAGTGTTCAAAATTGAGGCTGTTGGGATATGATTGAATCATAGGGACTGTGAATGAATCACAGCTTAATTGATGGATTTATAATTTGGTATCATTTTTGAAAAGTATGTGAATTGGACATATAGCACAATTAAAGAAAATAGATCTCTGGGGACATGTTCTTTGAGGAAATACCTTCCCCTAGTCCCTTGCGTTCTCTCTCTCTCTCTCTCTCTCTCTGTCCCTTGGCTGGTATGAGCTGAGTAGTTTTCCTCTTCCAAGTCTTCCACTATGAATGATTGAGAAACGCATGACAAAGGACTGAAAACCACAGAAACTGTGAGCTAAATTAAATATGACCCCTTTAAATTGTCTCAAGAATTATTTCAAAGCAAGAAAAAGTTAACTAACGTTTATTGTATTACTATTTGACAAATGAGGATGCCACACTTATCTGAATTTACTATGGTAATTAATAACTCATCACTTCCCCCCAACTTTCCCAGGCACAGGTATGCAATCTCAGTGTGGAATTGTGCCATATATATATATATATATATATATATATATTTATATTTATATTTATATATAGCACTATATATATATAGTGTTACATATATTCACCTTTTCTTTTTATTATCTTTAAACAGTCTTTAAATAGTTGTACAAAGGAATTGCCATTTAATAAAGCAGTTTATTGACACAATGCATCAGATCTAGCTTTCAAACACTTTTTTATCCAAAGTGTAATATATGTTTATTGGGTACCAGTTAGACAATTTATTATTTAAATTACTGTCACATGTTGAATCCTTTGTCAAACAAAGAAATTTAAAGAATAAAATAAAATTCTCTCTTTTTTTTTCCTATAAAGTGTTGATAGGGGAGAGTGAAGGAAAAAGATGGAACAGTATTTAAAGTGGGTGTGAACTTTCCAAAGAATAGAACCAGTGTTGTCTCTGGACTCAGAACAGCTTCTTAGAAGATGCAGCTTTTATGTTGAGTATTAAGACAATAACAGTATGCCAGACAAGGCTATCTAAAAGTGAAAGGGTGCATAGAGCAGGGAAATTACATTCACAAAGGCCTAGAGACAAGTAAGGACAAGAAGTGAGCAAGGAAAGCAAAAACTTCCATGCAGTTGCACAGCAAGGCCTAAAAACAAATAATATTCAGGGCTGGGTCTTCAAGGAATTGGTAGGAACTTGATTGTCTTTAACCAACAGAAGGAAATGCAGTTGGAATTTAAGCAATGAAGTAAGTAATAAGACTTGGCTAAACAAATTTTGTTCTGGTCATAAAAGAACGAATGGATTTGACAGAAATGCAATTCTGAAGAACTAGTGAGACTCATGGAAGTAATCAAGGTATTAAGAACCTCGAGAAGAGCTGGCTGTGTTGTTGTAGACTGTCTCTTCTCTCTTTGTTTTTACATTATTTCTCAAAACTATAGATATATTCTAATAACTTGTTTTCCTTACTCATGCACTCACACATTCATTAATCATCATTCACTTATTGACTACATTTTTTTCTCTTTTTATGTGCTGAAGGTTATTCCAAATACTGAGAAAACAACAGCATGCAAAACAAGGTCTCTGCTCTCAAAGAAGTTACAACCTTACAATGCAACCTTTACACAGTTGTTAAAAGTGCTTTAAGGTTAAATGGGCGCTTGTCACTCAACTGTAATCTAGCTACTCAATAGGCTGAGATTTGAGGATCACAGTTTGAAGTCAGCCTGGGCAACACTCAGAATAAACTACCAAAAAAGCATGAAGTGGTAGTATATAAATAACCTTACTAGAAATAACAGATTTTAATATATCTCAGACAATTAAACTTAGAGACTAGTGAGCTATGTAAGTAATTGTAGCATCCAAATCAGAATTACCCGGTGAGTATGTATTCAACAATGTGTAGTGTTTATTAGTCATTCTTTACTTCAATTCTTATTAACATCGAACCAAGAGAAAGAATTTTAAAATGTTAGTATTTACAGGTAAAATTATTGAAGACATACCCTTTTTCAAATTGTACTATACTAAAAATCAGTGTATTTGAAATCTTTTGAATTAGGTATATAATTAAAACCTAATATTAAAATATGAGTAATTCAACAATATAATTCAATAATAAAATTTTATTTTATGGATAAGATATAGTTATTGTATCAAATTTAAATGCTGCCTTATAATGGTAAATTTCTTAAAAAGAATATTTAAACAACATTGAATGCTTCCTAACCCCTCCAAGACATCAAAACATTGTAATCTTGCATTAACTAATCTTAAATGTGAATGTTGCCTTATTAATCATTGTGTCTTATTTTATTAAGTTTTGTTGAAATCCAGTTCTATATTTTGGAAAAATAACAGTAATTTTTTCTTAATGAATAAGAATTTACTCTTAAAAAACTAACATCCTTACAGTGTTTGTATTGCCTACTCTATCATTGCTTATCTTTCTATTGAACTTACTCAATATGTGAATCCCATAAAATTAAGAAAGAAATAGAAAAAGCCTGAAGTAGAGCTGTGGCTCAAGTGATAGAGCACTACCCTTGAGCAAAAGAAGCCCAGGCTGAGTTCAAGGCCCAGAGCGGACTCTTTCTCTGTCTCTCTCTTTCTCTTTCTCCGTCTCTCTTTCCCTTTCTCCTTCTTTCTCTCTTTCTTTCTCTCTCCCTCTCTCTCTGACCTACACACACACACACACACACACACACACACACACTTGCTTCAAGGAAAAATATCTGCATTTTTCATCACCCTAAGGAAAGGAAGGCTTTTGATGACACTTCAAGCAATATAAGATATTGTGGGTTAAAAAAAAATAAATAAATAAAACACTTCAGTTGCTTGAAAAATTATCCTGTGTTATACAACTGCATTTCTACTTATAGTGTCATACGCTAGAAAATGGAATGACAATCTATTTTCCACAAAAATCTAATGTTATATATTTATGCATATATTTTTAATCCTTGTAATGATATGATGAATTTAAAATTATGTTAACCAGACTAAATCTCTCAAAGGAGGACTATGTCCTAGCCATAGAAATCTGTGACCATCATTGGTCATATTTAAAAAGGCACGTTAGCAGATGGAATTAAGTAAATACAAAATCCTAGACTATTCCAGGTTTTATCTAATTACGTGGAATCACCCAGGAAGTAAAGAGGCTTTCTCTAATGTGATCAAATATGACTATGGAAGAAATGCCCAGGGAATGGTAGTGTCAGAATGACACTAGCTGCATGGAGAGGGGGTGTACCTGATGGATGTAAATCTTCCTCTCTCATCTTCTTCTGGAAGGATCCTATTATCTGCCTGCTCCTTTAAGCCTAAATGTGGTTTTCTAGTTCTAGTTCTGGGAGATTATGCTACTACTTACTGGTATCACAAATGCTTTCCATTTCTTTATAAGTTTTCACAAATCTCTGTGTAAATTCCTTGTGTAGAATAGACTATTTATCTCCTGTCAAGACAATGAATGATTAAATGAATTCAGACAATCAAGAGAAGGACAGAGGGTGGATTTATGCTCGTCTGATTGGACAGGTTTCTAGTTCAGGTCATTCATTCCAGAGGTCTGCTTACATCACTACCCATGATGACTGCATCCTTTTGACCAAATTAGCTCTTTCTATAACCACAATTTTATTACTTACTAAAAACATGTTACCTAATACGTCAAAAAATGCCATTAAATACAGGATTGATAGGCTTGGGATGTAAGAGTTGGAAGCAGTATGTCAAAATGTAGTAGGAAGACAGAACCAGGAAATGGAGTTAGTAATGTTCAGAGAAATAAATCATCAGTATTAAAAACAACAATCTTGAAAGTGCTATGTTATATATTTATTTATTTTTGATGCAACAACCCAAATATTAGAACATCCCTTGTAGGAAACAGAAAAATGTATTAGAAAATACAAAATGCAGCAGTGGCACTGGGTAGACACTATGATGAAATTAAACTACATAACTTGTAGGTGGGGTTGGGAGGGGGAAAAAAACTGGGAGAGATCTAAGGAAAGGGTACATTGTCCAAAAAGAAATGTACTTATTACCTAACTTACGTAACTGTAACACCTCTGTATGTCACCTTTATAATAACAATATAAATATTTAACCCAAACGAAAATAAAATGAATCTCTTTAATTGGGGCACAGAGTGGCATTTTATTCTCATGTCCTGACATTAGTCTGTTGCCCTGTGAAAGCTGTAAACTTCCAGGTTACCTGGAATCAATGTCTCTTGCTGACCATTATTTCAGGGATCTATCACAATTCAACAGCACAAATGATGGCAATCCATGTTCTCAATGCTTTATTCTGTTTAGGATATTGTCAATGGAAGGATGTATGTACTTATTCTTTAACAGAGCCTTGAAGGTTAGAGAGTAATTTTTTTATCTGGAGTAAGGCGATGGACTATACAACCTTGGTTGGCTCATTTGCAATGATCATTTAATATGTCTTAACTATGCCTTATAAAATTTTTGTGAAGCTCAAAAAATACACACCAGTGAGGAGGCTTCATGACATTTCCTTAAGCTAGGTATTCTTAAATAAGACTTCTAGGAAAACAACAGATTTGAGATATGGAACTGCTTTATATGAAAATCTTCAGATTGTATTTCTAAACTTCAAAAGCACATATTTGTATTTGCATATTGTGAGCCTGAAATAAGTTCCTCCCAGATTGAAACAGCATTTGGATTCCAAGCTAGCAAATATTCTCCATGAAAAGACTTATGACATAGAGATATAAGCTGTCATATTTGTGGTATGGTAAGGAGGTATTGTCAATCAAGAAAATTACACTCTCGTTTTTTTATTGTGAAATTACCATACAGAGGGGTTACAATTACATGGGCAAGATAATAAGTACATTTCTTATCAAGCATTGTTGCCTCCTCGTTTGTTTCCCCTTCCCATCCTTTCCCATCCTTTCCCATTCCCCACCCCCACCCTGGCTAAAGTAGTAAAGTTTGTTTTTCAACATAACATCTTGTACATCTCATTGTTACAATGAGTCCACCTGTATCCCTATTTAAACAATTTGTTTTTTCCCTTCGCCTCCCCAAACTATACCAACATCAAATACAGTGAAAACAGGCAGAAATGGTCACATAAGTTGATATTAGGCTAAATGAACCCCAAGATAAGGACTCAATTTTTTTTTCTTTCTTGCAATTGTTTTACACTGTCTCTTAAACAGGCTGTCTGAATTTTTCCTCTCTAGCCCAAGAAACATAGGTCCATAGCTTCCCTTATTTGAAATAATTAGTATATGTCTATAAAATAATCTTAGCAGATGAGCAGAATAGCTCAAAAGCTATGTACATATGACCATATAAGATGATGCTAAGCAAAATTAACTCCAAGACATAGGACACAAGAGGTCTTTTTTATTGTTATTGTTTTTAATGTACTATTAGATTTTTTGTTTCTGTTGTATGTTCTTCCCTCTATGGTATATCCCTTGTTGTCACTGTATTGATTTTGATATCCTGGTATTGTGAGTGTGTATAATCCGTATGTGTGTGTGTGTGTGTGTGTGTGTGTGTGTGTGTGTGTGTGTGTGTGTGTGTATGTGGATTAGGAAAGGGAAGAGGAACAACAAAATAGTGAGACAAAAAACTAGGGGGAACAATGCAACAATGATATACACAAGACAATAAGTTGGAAATGATTTATATAACTTGGAGGGGGACCTTGGGGAGGAAAGTAAGAGAAAAATGAGGAGAGGAATAACAAGTTTGAGGAGAAATGTACTTAAAACCTTACTTGTGTAACTGTAACCCCTTTGTATATCACCTTGACAATAAAAAATTTTAAAAATAAAATAATAACTGGGAGAAAAGAAGGGAAGAGGTGGTATTGTTCAAAAAGAAATATACTCATTTCCTGACCTATATGACTGTAATCCCTCTGTGCATCATCTTTACAATAAAAATAAATAAAATATAAAAACTAAAAAAAGAAAATTATAAAAGGAAATTGTCTGCCAGGCACTGGTGGCTCATGCCAGTAATCCTAGCTACTCAGGAAGCTAAGATCTGAAGATAAGGGTTCAAAGCTAGACTAGGCAGAAAAGTCCATGAGACTCTTATCTCCAATTAACCACTAGAAAACTGAAGTGGTGCTATGGCTCAAGTGTTAAAGTGCTGGCCTTGAGCTGAAGAGTGCAGGGATAGGGCCCAAGCTCAGAGTTCAAGCCCCAAGACCGACAAAAAAAACAAAAAAACAAAAAACAAACAAACAGGAAATTGTCAGGCAAATGCTTGGTAAGCATAGAATTTTTTTTCAAAAGGTAAACTTTCTCAAATTGGACAGTCTAGTTGACTATTTGCAAATACAGGTATAATTTCAGCAAGAATAAACCCAGTTGAAACATAGAATTTATGCTTATTATTGTTCCTATGAGGGAAAATTCCCAAAAAAGAAATTCCACTATTTAACATTATTACAAAAGCATACCAGCTCAGCGTCTGTGGCTCATGCCTGTAATCCTAGATATTCAGAAGGCTGAAATCTGAAGATCGTGGTTCAAAGCCAGCACTGTAAGAAAAGTCCGTGAGACTCTTACCTCCAATGAACCTCCAGAAAACTGGAAGTTGCACTGTGGCTCATGTAGGTAGAGTGCTAGCCTTGAGTGGAAGAGCTGAAGGACAGCGCTCAGGCCCAGATTTCAAGCCCCATGACCAACAAAACAATACAAAAACCTCAAGTTGTTTGTACATAAATTTATAAAAACAGGTAGAGACCATCCAGCACTTCCTCTTACTTCTCTAGATCTCTTTCCTTCCTACTCAATTTAATTTCTATTTCATCATTTATACAACCAAAGTTGTTTCTACAATGATTATCTTGATTTGTCATACAGCAGATCATGATGCTTGGTTTAATTATACCAGGAAAATATGTTTAGTGTAAACCTCTGTCTACTAGGTTATTTGAACATTCAATCTTTTTTGCTTAGAATGATAGAATAATAGATTTAAATACCAATAACTACCTAAAATATTAAGTCAATAAATAATGAAATGTATAATATTTCTAAATTAAAGAAACTAAATCCTGCCTTTGC